TACAGTCGACCCCCGTATAAGATCATTGATTATTCCGTTTTATATGAATTCCATGTTGTACAAGTCACTTAAATTTTACAAATACGTGAGCCGTTCACAGCCCGGTACACGTATTTGTAAAATCTAAGTGACTCGTACAACATGGAATTCATATAAAACGGAATAATCAATGATCTTATACGGGGGTCGACTGTACTGTTTTGTTTACAATCAGGCAAGTCAATTTCTCATGCAGATGTACTTAATTTGTTAACCACACTGCATATTAATGAGCCATTATCCAATGAAATTTTACTTCTAGAAGCACTAGATAAACCATCACTACAGGCTGATGAGATTGCCCATATGACTACCCAAGATCTTATGCCATCATGAGTCCTCAACTGGGTGTAGAAGGGGTGGCCAATGGAAAAACTAGATGCAGAGTTTGCACCTTTTTCCAAAAGAAATTGGAACTATCAGTTCACAGAGGTTGCTTATTATAGGGATGCAGAGTTGTTATACCAAAGAAGGCTAAAGCTCACTTATTGGCCACACTTTGCAATGCTCATTAACAAATTGTTTGCAGTAAGGCTCTTGCTTGCAGCTACATTTGGTGGCCAGGCATGGACAGACAAATAAAAGAAATAGTAGCTGTTTGTGATACGTGTCAGCAAATAAGATGTGCTTCTGAAGATAGTGATGTCATGAGCCAGCTGAAGAATTCTTGGTCAAGACTTCATATTGACCATGCTGATCCTTTTCAGAGAGTCTTGTTTCTGATCATTGTGAAATTATATTCAAAGTAGCTGGATATAATCAAAGTTAAATCAATTGATTCAAAGTGTGCAATCAGAGCATTGAAGAAGTTATTTAGTGCCCATGAGATTCCTGATATGGCTATCTTAGTCAATGGAACAGGATTTATGTTGTCCTGACTGAACGGTGACCATAAGGGAAGGTTCAGGTCACTGAAACTTTTTCCTCTCTTCTATTGAAATGAGTAAGAAGAAACATTGTGTTTAATGGTTTCCAGATGTGGAGAACAATATATAGTAAGGACACAAAGTATGACATATCATAAAAAGGCTTTTTTAAAAATATCTCTAAGCTTTTCTTACACAAGGAAAAACAGGTGTGAGGCTTTGTGTATAAGTTTATGGAACTAAGAAGACAGTGGCTAAAAAAGTTTGGAAATCCACTGCTTTATTAATTTGTTTTTTCTGAAGTTTCTGTGAGTTTGTGTTATTGCATTCTGAATAATTTCCACAGTTTTTGCAAATCTTCTTAATATTAAAAGTGCTTTAACTGGTTCTGTGCCACTTGCTTGCCAGCTAGTTACTTGTTTTACCAAGGTTATCTTTGTTTAACTTAAAGTCTAAATAATTAGTGGATGTATTTTTGAAATTAACTTTCTTAATAATTGTAACATATAATCTTACTTAATAATTGCAACTTTGAAATATATTTATTAAACTGTAAATTTTTAATTTTTGTGACCAATAAAAATTAGTATTTTCGATATTGTGATTTTGAGGTATGAACTTTATAACCTCATAACACATGAAAAAATAATGAAACTGTTACAGAGAGATTTCAACGTGACATCCTCTCAACACATCAAACTAACTTAGTAAAATTAATGAGAAAATTTTTTAAATGCACAGTTTATAAAATTTTTACATAACGGTAGTACTTAATAAATGGCTTTAAACAATAAGATGTATTTCAGTTGTATGTACACCATATAACTCTAGACACGTACAAGCAATTGCTTTATATACTGTACAGTATTTTTGAAATTATCCAAAAGTTATAATTGAAGATAACATGTAATAATGATTATATTAAGCTTCAGCAGAGTTAAATTCATGCCATTACATTTTACGCAGAGAACCAGTTAAACTTCAGAAACAAAATGAAATCACGGAGAACTAAATAAAATGAGTATAGTAGATTGTAATAAATCAAGAATCATATCTTCATAAGAAATTTTTGACTATGCCAGACAACTGGGTCTTTTGTTTCCAGGCCATTTTCATACATTCTTCATAATTTGTTACTCATGATTCTGATTCTGCATTTTCAAGATAAATTCTCAAATTTTTTTGATTATATCTTATATATTCTTACATATATGTATATAGATATATGTATATATAATAGTATTGTGTGTATAGTTATGATATTACAGATTCTATTTGTCCTTCTTTTTTAATTTAATTCTCTACTAAATATATACAGTAAAACCTTGCTAATTCAGATGCCACTAATTTGGAATTCATGGTAATACTGTTACTATTTTGCATTGTGTATTTTTTAAAATAATGAATCTGTTGATTCTACTTGAGGCTTTAACAACTATTACCTATTATTACTACTTTTAGACAGATGCATCAAGATGTGATTAAAGAACATTTAGAAAAGGAACCACAAATAAAACTTAAATTTGGGCTTAAAAAAGAAGCTATCAGCAATGACAAGAACAATGCTACTACTATGTTTGTATTGTAAAAATTCATCAAACCACTGTATTTGTTCATTTAATTAAAGTGTACTGTACAATAAATTTTGACTTTAAAGAAAGTGTACTTTTTGGACCATACAATACACATTTGAGTAAAAGTCTTTTCTAATTCAGACTTTCACTAATTCAGACTAGGCTTTCCTTAATTAGTCCAAATTAGTGAGGTTGTACTGTATTTATGCTTTTATGTATACATTAGATTACAATGCAGCTTGAAAAAAATTTTAAAAACATTGTCTATCTATCCAACAATCAGAATTTTAATAACCAAATGTCCAGGCTGGAACTGAGATGAATCACCATGCAAACAACATAAATACTTTAGAATCTTACAAATTCAATTTCAGCAGCTAAACTTGAAGAGGTTTTTAAATAAGCTGAAAACATTATTTTTACAATAAAACATTTACTGAATCAGTATTTATGGTGTTTGCTTGATGAGAATTTTAATTAATTAATTATTATTTTTAAATTTTTATTAATTATATGTTAATAGTTAATAGTTAAGTTAATAGAAAGATAGAAATGTCAGGAAAGAAACTGAATTTCAGTCTTTTTATTTTATATTTCAGAGCATTTTAAATATGTTTATTATTATTATTATTGAGTTGTGCAATTATTATTTTATTTTAATTTTATTAAAGAGCAATTCACATAATTTTAAAGATTATAATCACAGTAGCTTGTAATAAAATATTATTAGTATCTATATTTTAAATTAAATTTATATTCAGATTTTAATATTACTTTTTAAGAAAACAGTGTATATTTTTCTATACATAAAAATCTTTAGGGAGCCGTCGAATATTAGATGTAATGGATGTTACAACACAAAAAGATACAGAAATGACAATGAAAGAATGGTGCCAATATTTTGAAGATCCTAAGCGAGAGAGGCTGTTAAATGTTATAAGTTTAGAGTTTAGTCATACTCGACTTGAACATTATGTGGAATCGCCAACAGTTGTAAGTATGGAAATTATATTTTTAATGAAATCATTGTAACAGATTAACAGTGCATTATAATTTACTTAAATTATATCATTTAGGTACGACAAGTAGATTGGGTTGATTTAGTATGGCCTCGTCATTTGAAGGAAAGTCAAATAAAAGGAACAAATGATATTGAAGATATGAAATATCCAAAAGTTCAAAAGTAAGTGAAAATTGAAATAATTTTTTTATATTTGGTTTAATTTTTTTTTCAAGCATTCTAATTCAAAATTTACTTAATAAAATAAACTGATAAATCTTACTAGAGATCAATAAAATTAAAAATATATATAATTGATCAAATGTTATTTAATATATTTAAAACTATAAAAATACAAATCAAACATTAAATCAGTAATATTTGATTTTCTCTGCATGGTCTTGAACATTCATGAAGAGAAGCTTTACAGTTTTACCACTCATTTATTTTCTTTTTGAGTATTTTAACTGGATAAAAATGTTTTATGCTATTTTGTAATAATCTACAACTTTATAGTTTAAACTATGCTGTTGTCTTTCATAAGAACTAATTTAGGATTTGCTCCATGTGAAAGGGGAGTTAAGGTGCATAGTGTCAAAACCAACAAATAGTCCACAATTACACTGGAATATAGAAGAATTTTTTAAGTACAAGACTCTTTTTAATTTATTTACTTACACTTCAATAAAATGTAATTTATTTAATATTTCAGTTACAAAAACCCAAAAATGGATTTACATATGTCAGAGAATGTGTAAATTCAATGTATAATTTTATGTATAAAATGCATTTAAAAAAACAGTAATTGATTCTTTTCACAATTTTTCATTGAACAAAGAGAAAATAATTAAGCAAAAATTTAGCATTAATACTTTTTTCAGTTTCAGTCTTAAAATTTTTAAGTTTAGTAAATTACTCCAAAAGTTGGGAAATAAAGAATAGATATATATCCCATTTATAACTCTGTATAATTATGTAATGTTAACATAATAAATCACACCATTTACACTTTTTCTGGCAGCAACACTTTAATATACAAACATTTTTGGAGCTATATCAGGTTTTAACATTAATCAAATTGAACATCTATAATGAAATAAAAGTTTGGAACAACTTTGGTGTTCTATTGATGTCAGAAGATTTGAAAATAGATATCTTCCACCGTATATTTACCTAGATAGAATTATATAAACAACAAAATCAATTAATTAAATAACTGCATATTGTTAATGTTAAAACTTGATGTAGGCCCATAAATGTGGCTGAAAACATTCATACATTAGTGTTGCTGCTGGAAAATTTATTACAGAATTATATAAACAACAAAATCAATTAATTAAATAACTGCATATTGTTAATGTTAAAACCTGATGTAGGCTCATAAATGTGGCTGAAAACATTCATATATTAAAGTGTTGCTGCCGGAAAATTTATTACAGATAAGTTCCAGCTTACATTGTAACATCTTATTTGATGAAATCAAAATCCCAAATAATATTCTAACAGTGCATTACATAAATGAAGGGGTCGAAAGTGCCAGGCCTGGACTTTACACAGGCAATAAAATAAAAAAAAATTGTTATTAGTGTCAAATCCCAAAATAATTACTATAAGCAATTCAAAAAAATCTATTTATTAGTAAAAGCATGAATATGCACAATCAAGAAATAACATTAGAAAATTACTTGAAAATGAAGATGATTTATCAAAAAATTAAAACAAATATATACAAAACTTTCCTGACAATTGGGGACTTACAAATTAAGCTACAACTATCTTAGAACTATTTGCACAAAAACTAACAAGCAAAGTATGAAAAAAAATTGAAAAAGCACAATGAATCTTACTGATTCATCTAGCCATCACCAAGAAACTCTGTCGTCATTGAAACTGGAAAGCTTTTCGTCAATCTTGCTCAATCCTTAGCACCACCTCATTTGATTCTTCAATTCTTCTTCTTCTTATAGTGCAGTTGGGGTGACATTACAAGCATATGCCCACTCAACCCTATTTACATACTTAAACATTAACACTTCATTCATTCTAGTAATCAGTCTTGTTAATTCATGTCATCTCCCTTACAAGTAATTTTATAATTGTTTTATGGCATTTCCAATGACAATTTGTGATGGGAGATCATTCTTTTAACTTTCTGTGAAAGTCCCCCCTGAGATGTCGTTTCTGGGTTGATGATGTCATAAGTTGCTGCCAGTAGTCATCATAATAAGGTGAATTAATTTTGAATTTTACCCAGGTGAGGTGCGGTGGTTTATCCTTACTGAAATAAAAACACCCAAAATAAAGAAAATAACTAACTAAAAATAATCCCCAAACAAAATAGAATGAGTTGGATTCAGCTCCTTACAACAGGGGTGTCCAACCTTTTTGTTTCTCTGGGCCACATTGGAAGAAGTCATGGAATTTTGGGCCACAAGTATATTATATAAAACTTTATCACAAAAAAGGATATTTTAAAAAATTACTTCTATAGACACTTTCAATTTTTACTTAGAAATAGATAAATTCATTTATTATAAAGGAGACAAACAAAAATTTATTTGAAAAAAAACAAATATTTGTTTTATTTGGGTCTCTAATTAATAAAAACTGACAAAACACCATTTTAAAGTGCATTTTTATTCAACTAATATATTTATAAATAATATGTATCTCAAAAAGTAGCCAATTCGCCAAATGATATTTTTTACGCCAAACTAATAAAAGGGTAGCCAAATCCTGCAACGCTGGAAGGAATACTAAATAAAGCTGGAGTTGGGACTCAAAGGATTATAGACCCAAAAGCAAGGAAAGGAGAGAAAGGACAAAAGATAAAGAAGTGAGAAAGGTTGGAAAATTAAGGGTCAGTATTTACATAACAGAAGGTCTATTTAACCTTTCTCACTACTTTTTATCTCTCTTAGCCTCTTTGTGCTCTCTGAGAGGTAAAGGGCCTAAAACCACAAATAAAAAAATAAAAAAACTACTTTTTATCTTTTGGCCTTTCTCTTCTTTCCCCGAATTTGAGTCTATTCTTCTTTGAGTCACAACTCCAGCTTCATTTAGTATACCTTCCTCATTCACACATTTCCAAATATTTGAAAATATTTCCTTTTCACTCAAAAATAAAATATGTATAAAGGTTTACGGCTTTGTGAAACTTATTTTTTGAGTTTATGCCATTTAAATAAATAAATTAATTAATTAAAAAATTTGTCAGTTTTGTTTACATGTTTATTGGGCCACATGTGGGCCTTGGGTTGGACACCCCTGCCTTACAACATATTGGAGAGTTTAATGTTAACATCTTATTTAACATATTACTATATTTACTTTAAGTATTTAAAAAAAAATTCATTAAGAGGAAAAGCTAATATTGATTCATTTATCAACTTTAATATATCTACTTTAAATCATAACAATTATTGTGTTATGTTTAACTCTAATTCAGATTTTTATAATTAAAATATCATATCAAGTTTTTGATATTCAAATATATTCAAGTTGAGTAGCCCATCCAATATTTAGAATCTGAAATACTCCAAAATCTGTAACTTTGTTTTCACAGAAGAGTGTCTTTTGGGATGGAATTATGACTTACTTGTTTGTGCTGTGAAAATGATACAATTGTGCATATGCAATTGTGGTGCATTGCTGTGACTCAATAAATCATCAACCATTATAAGTATGAGGGTCTATGACTATTTATTTTCTGTTGGGTTTATATTTCGTTAAAAATGTGAAAAAGATCTGATAGTTCTCTTCAGCTCTATCATATCATGTATTCCAAAATCTGAAACATTCTCAGTTCCAAGCATTTTCAATTGGTGATATTCAACCCATATAAACTGTTAATTAAAGATTGGTTCTATCTCAAGATATAAATAATATTTATTCTTACATTTTGTTTAAGTTTGCTAATAAAATTAATGTTAGTTTTCTCTTATGCATAACATATGTTCTTAAAGAAGTGATTTTACTTTTTCTTTAACTTTCTATAAATTTATTTTAAAAATAAATAAGTATTGGTTGAGTCAAACACAAAAATCAAAGTATACTTAATATCAACATAGATATTTTCATTTTGTATAGATTATTAAGACAAGTGCTTAAATATTACAATGCAGAATATTTTATAATTGTATTTTTGACACAATTCAGTTTTTAAGTATTTTATTATTTTTATTAGTATGTATTAATTTTTGAATAGATGATGTCTGCTCTAAGAAAGACTTGTCTATTGAAAACACCAAAAAATTGATT